TGGTGATTATAAATTCCCTCAGTATTTGCTTGTCTGAAAAAGTTCTCATTTCTACTTTGCTTGTGAAATTTAGTTTGGCTGGATATGAAATTCCAGGATGACTTTTTTTTCTTTAAGAATGTTAAATATTGGGCCTGGTGTGATGGCTCACACCTATAATCCCAGCACTTTGGGAGGCCAAGGAGGATGGATCACCTGAGGTCAGGAGTTCCAGACCAGTCTGGCCAACATGGCACAACCCTGTCTCTGCTAAAAATATAAAAAGTAGCCGGGTTTGATGATGGGTGCTGGTAATCCCAACTACTCAGGAAGCTAAGGCAGGAGAATCACTTGAACTGGGAGGTGGAGGTTGCAGTGAGCCAAGATGGCACCACTGCATTCCATCTTAGGTGGAGACTCCATCTTAAAAAAAAAAAAAAAAAAGAATGTTAAATATTGGTCCCAATCTCTTCTGGCTTGTAGGGTTTCTGCTGAGAGGTCTGCTGTTAGTCTTCCCTTTGTAGGGAAGGACAAAGGGATGGACTTCACTTTGTAGGTGGCCTGGCCTCTGTCTCTGGCTGCCCTTAACATTTTGATCTTGGGGAATCTGATGATAAAGTGTCTTGGGGTTGATCTTCTCATGGAGTATCTTACTGGATTCTCTGTATTTCCTGAATTTGAATGTTGACCTTTCTTTCTAGGTTGAGGAAGTTCTCCTGGATGATTTCCTGAACTGTGTTTTGTCCTCCCCATTTATTTCAGGTACCCCCAACCAGTCATAGATTAAATCTTTTTACATAATCCCATAGTTCTCAGAGGTTTTGTTTGTTCTTTTGTTCTCTAATCTTGTCTGCCTGCCTTATTTCAGCAAGAGAGTCTTCAAGCTCTGATATCCTTTCTGCCTTTTGGTTTATTTGGATATTGATACTTGTGTTTGCATTGTGAAGTTCTTGTGTTGTGTTTTACAGCTCCATCAGGTCATTTATATTCCACCCTAACCTGGTTATTTTGGTTATTAACTCCTGTAATGTTTTATCCTGGTTCTTAACTTCTTTGCAATATGTTAGAACATTCTCCTTTAGCTCAGTGAAGTTCATTATTACCCATCTTCTGAAATCCACTTCTGTCAGTTCATCCAGCTCAGCTTCATCCCAATTCTATGCCCTTGCGAGAGACGTGTTGTGATCATTTGCAGGTGAAGAGAGACTCTGGCTTTTTGAGTTTACAGCATTTTTGCGTTGATTCTTTCTCATCTTCAAGGGTTTATCTACCTTTGATCTTTGCGTCTGCTGACCTTTGGATGGGGTTTTTGTGGTCTTTTGAAATTGATGCTGTTTTTGCTTTCTGTTTGTTCTTTAGCAGTCTTCCCTAGGGCTGCTGTGGTTTGCTATGGGCCTACTCCAGACCCTGGAGTAGGGTACTTCTGACCCCTGGAAGTATCACCAGTGGAGGCTGCAGAACAGCAAAGATGGCAGCCTGCTCCATCTGCTGGGCACTCTGTCCCAGAGGGGCATTGACCTGATGCCTGCTGGAATGAACCTGTATGCAGTGCCCAAAGACCCCTGTTAGGAGGTCTCACCCAGTCAGGAGAAACGGGATCTGGGACCCACTTAAATAAGCAGGAATTTCCCTGGTCCAGACTGCCTGAACTCCTCAAAGCTTGCTAGCAGAAAAGGCTAAGATTGCTGATCCATGATACCACTGCTGCCCCTTCTCCTAAGTGGTTCTCTCAGACAAATCAGAGATCTGTCCTTAACCCCCTGGCTGGGGATGCTGAAAATCCCTCAGGGAGGCCCTGCTTGGTGAGAAGGAATGGGTCAGGGTCTCGCTTAAAGAAGCAGTTTGGCCACGAACTCACAGTGACTATACTGTGCTGGGCTGTGCTGTGGGGAATTTTTCCTAGTCCAAACCACTCAGTCTTGCTGGCACCAACAGCAGGGGAAAATGGCCAACTGGAGCCACAGTGGTAATGGCCACCTCTCCCTCCCAGGACTCTGTCTTCTTAGGCAGGCTCCAGCCTGCCCTGCCCATTGGCCAGAAGGGATTTCAAGCTAGTGGGTTTTAGCTTGTGGTGTTCCATGGGACATTGTGCCATTGAGCAAGGTCACTTGGCTTCCTGGCTTCAGCCCCCTTCCCATGAGCGTTGATGGATCTCCTGCCTCACTGGAGTTCCTAGAACCAGGGTATGCAAAAAGTCCTATGTCTCAGTGCCTGCCTGAGGTGCTGCCCACCCAAGCTGCTGCTGTGAGTCTGCACAGCTCTGTTGGGACTCAAGGCCTTCATGGCATGTACTCATGAGGGGATCTCCTGATCCACAGGTTACAAGGATTCATGAGAAAAGCATGTTTTTCAGGGTATGGTAGCACAATCTCTCACCACCTCCCTTGGCTCGGGGAGGGATTTCCTTTTGCCCCATTCAGCTCCCAGGTAGGTGGGCTCTAAGTCCACTCCACCCTGTTTTACCTTGCTCTCCATGGGTTGCACCAACTGCTAGTCAGTCACAATGAGAGAACCTGGGTGCCTCAATTGAAGATTTGGAATTCACGTGCTGTTTTTGTTCTTCTCAGTGAGAGCTGCAGACTAGAGCTGATTCTATTTGGCCATCTTGACTGCTCCACTGCTGTCATCTTTATCTTTGTTCCGCTCTATGTAACATGTCTTTGTTTTCTGGATACTTTTAAGATTCTTTATTATGAGTTTTGAAATTTTTGGTTATAAGCTATCCTGGTGTAGTTTTCCTCATGTTTCTTGTGATTAGGGTTTGGTAAACTTCTTGGATCTGTGAACTTAAATTTTCATTAAGCTTGGAAAGTTTTGGGCCATATTTCTTTAAATATTTTTCTGTATCTCACTCCCTTTAAGGAAATCAATTCCACTAAAGTTGTATCACAGCTAACTGATGCACATTTCATCTTTTTTGGATATTTTTTTTCCTCTATGGATTTTATCTTGGATAATTTTTTTCTTTTCTTTTTTTAAAGAGACAGTCTTGCTCTGTTGCCAAGGCAATCATGGCTCACTGCATCCTTGAACTCCTGAATCACTGCCTTGGATAATTTCTAATGTTATGATTTTGGATTCATTAATCTCTTTTTCTGGAATGTCCATTAATTTTAACTTCTAAAAAATCTCAGACATTGCAGTCTTCTGTTTTTAATATTTTTCATATCTTTGCTTAACATTTAAAAATATGGAATGCAGTTATAATAACCATTTTAATGTCTTTCTCTGTTAATTGTAACATCTGTATAAGTTCTGCATTAGTTTCAACTTATTGATTCAGCTTCTTGGTATATCTTATTTTTTTCCCTCTTTACATGGCTGGTAATATTTCATTAGAAGCCAGACATTGCATTGTAAGTGTTAGTTGCTAGGCATTATGATTTCTGTAAACCTCCTTGAGGGTTTTTTAATTTTAATTTTAATTTTTATGGGACACAGTCAAGTTATATGGGAAAATTTTGATCTTTTCAGGTTTTACATTATGAATTGTTAGGTGGGTCTGGAGCAGTTTAGTTCTGCTCCCCTGGGGAGTGTGAATAACTGTATCCTGTTATTCTTTCAGATGCATCTTACTTGGTCTGAAGTTGTTTCCTCACATGCATGTGCTAATCAATCCTCTGCTAATCAATACTCAAGGAATACCATTTGCAGATCTCTAGGGTTCTCTCTGTGTGTAGTTCTTTTTTCTCTAGTAATCTTTTCCATGAACTCTAACTGTATTGGTCTTCCTATACATTTAGCTCCATTTTTTCAACTCAGGGAGTCAGCCAACCTCTGTCTTAGTAATTTCATGTGCTATGACCTGAAACATTTCATTGAGACAGGAAGCTGGGGGAATTATAGGACTAACTTGTTTTGTTATTTTTCAGAGATCACAGCCCATTGTTGTATTATGGCCAGTGTCTTACAAACTATTGCTTCATGTGGTTTATCTGTTTTGGTTTTTTTTGGCTTTTGTTTCAAGTGACAGAGTATATTGGCCCCCCATCTCTTGGCCAGGGGTGACTTAACAATATCCTCTTATGCTTTCACAAGATCCATAAGAAATCTGTTACATACATAATTTGTTTGGGCCCCCAAACCTGATTTATTCAAAGCAATATGATGTTTTACTGCTTTTTCATCAAATCTTGAGCTTCCATCCCTTATTATTACTCTTTTCATGTCAAATCTTATGATTTTCTACTTAAGAGAAAAGATGATAATAAACGTGCCAGCAGTTTTACAATTTCTCTGTTATCTATAAAAACTCTGCTTTCCCCAAGCTGTGAGAATTTGTATTTATCATTCTTGTTTTTGCTTCCAAGTGAGAGGTTATGGAAGAAAATACAGAGAGATATATACACACTTCTGCCTCTCTCTAGTAATTTTGGCATATCTCAGCTCCTTTTCATCAATGTTGCATATTTATTATTTGTCTTTGTTTTTATCTTTTCTACTGCTTATTTTTAAATTGATGTTTGTTGAAGAGTTGGGTTATTAACTGTTTTTATATTCTTCCTGGTAGATATCCACTGGGATTTGAGTTATAGAATTTCATTTTTGGAGTTTCCCATTAAACTGCTGCTAAATTTTCATTTAGATATGCAATTATCAGCAAGATGATTAAAGTTGTGTTGTTCTTTTCTTAAAAGTATGTGCTTTTACAATCATTCTCAGTCATTTTCTTATTCCATGTATTTTATATTAGAGAAGCATCTGGCTGCCTTTTTGTGCTTCAGTATTTATATATTACAGTGGCAATGTATTTTATATTATGTCTTTTTTTTTTTTTAACCTAACAGCCTCCATCATTTTCTCTCTCAAGTTTAAATATTTTATAACAGGTATAGCTTTTCTTTAAATAAGGCAATATTCTATCACCATCTTCTATTTTCACCTATCTCATTTGAATTAGCATTGTAGAGGGAGCCATCACTTATCAAAAATACACTTGTCTCTAGCAGAAGATCCTCTTATTTGGCAACCATCATAAATATTAATTTCAATTAAAATATTTTTAAGGGAAAATAACTTACGCAGGTCCATAGTTGCATACAAATATCACAGATGAAGCTCCCCCAAGGTCAGGACATGCTGCAGCTGCACAACCAAGATAAACTGAATTGGCCCAAACCACCTATAAAGAAAGGCATTTCAAGATAAAACATGCAAAACATTTCTATGCAAACAATACATTTTGAGAATTGCTCTAATCTTTGTCATGCTACAAAAAGAATGTACACAAATATTTATTAGTTACATATTTTTTATAATTTCTGTATTTAGTTTAAAATTTTTATTTTGTTAAGGCTGCTTTCATGAGTGCTACCTAGCTAGTTTTTCCTTGCTGGTAATTCTCATAAATCAAAACAAGAATATAATATATAGCCAAATTAATAGTATAATATATAAAATAATTTCTTCTAGATTATTTATGAAATATACTTTAATTCTATCTATGGGTATATAATACAAACAATATCAAAATCAGACTGTAAATGGAAACAATAACATATTTGTTTTTCTCAGAAAAATTCTACATAATTTATAATTACATTTTAAATTTTGCAATCTTAATCATATTCTTACCTTTGTCAAGTCACAAAGTAAGGATTAAAAACATATTGAGTTGATTTTCAAAGATGCCTGCCATAAGGAAGGTAAATCTTAATTTTTATCTAGTTGCAAAAAATAGCAAAGTTATGCAAAAGGAAGAAGACTTCTATGGAAAACTAGTTATGGAAGATAGGAACCTTACTATTTTTTTTTGTGACAATGATAGAATAATTCTTTTTTCATTTTCCAAATAAACACAAAAAGGAAGAAAATATTGATTTACTCCATTTGAAAAATAATCCAAGGAATTTAGACACAGAATAAATTTTGACAACACAAATTTCTGATCTCATTTATTTTACTTTATTATCAAAACATACTAACCTATTTCATAAATTGATGTATCAGTCAATTTTTTTCCATAGGCTTGCTCTAGCCAGAATCAGTAGTTTTGCAAAATATATTTTACTGCCTTTTTGTTTGCCTGAGAGGCAGTAAAGTGCGAGAAAAATACAGTGAACTGAGAATTTAAAAATGAGTTTTGGGAGGCTTAGGCAGACACATCATGAAGTCAGGGGTTCAAGGCGAGCCTGGCCAACATGGCAAAACCCTGTCTTTACTAATAATACAAAAATTAGCCAAGTGCGATGACACACACCTGAAATCCCAGCTATTCAGGAGGCTGAGGCAGGAGAATTGCTTGAACCCAGGAGGAGGAGGTTGCAGTGAGCTGAGATCGTGCCATTGCACTCCAGCCCTGGTGACAGGGAGAGACTCTAGCTCAAAAAAAAAAAAAAAAAAAAAAAAAAAATTAGTTTCACTTTCAGCCATCTGTGTGATTTTGTTGAGTAAGTGACAGATCAATTCTGGGGTAGTTTCCCACTTAATGAAATGAGATAAAGTGAGATCATTAAAAGAGTGTTTTCCTTTTGAATGTTTTAAACAATGAACAATAAAACTAAAATATATATTTCAAAAAAATCATGTTTAACAATTTGGCTCATGAATTACTACACCAAGAAATTCTATTCTCTCTTAATTGTGACTCTTGGCTCTTGGAATGGTGAAAATAAATGTTGACTATGTAGGTTTATGATATATGGCTTTCATTAAAGAAACGATGTAATATTAATATGAACATTGGATGTAACTCTAATATGAATACCAGTAGGTGGCAAATGCAAGAAAACTGTCTCTTATTTTGTTTAGAACATTAAGCAAGATATAGTTGTTGATTTTATAAGCATACAATCATTCCTAATTATTTAACCTTGTGTGTAAACTAGCCAATGAAGAGTAAACTCCCCTTTCTGATCTAGCAATACTAAGGGAAAAGGGGCATTTGGGAACAGGCTTTTTTTTTTTTTTCTTTACCGCAAAAGAGAACAGAAATGATATATAAAAGCTATGACTCAGCCTTGATGCCATATTAGGGATATTGCATCCTTTTGTTATAAGACATCTGACATTTGATTCATTCTTTCAATTTTCTGGGGAGTAGCCAAACTGTATTCTTTACCAACATCTTTCCTGATATCCTGGAGATTGTCTAGACTTAGAGCATCCTGTTGTTGAATGAAGAGTGAACATAAAGGGAACATGGAAGTTGCTGTTATTTGTTCACTGCACGTCTGATAAGAATGACTTTAAGGTCCTGTATAGGAATTCAACTTAGAGAAATGAGTAAGTTTAGAGAAGAAGATGAACCTTTCTATTGCTTAAACAGGCTCTCCTAGCGGCTCAGTATCATATCTGGGATTAAAATTTGGCCAAAAGATAAATTTTAGAGACATTTACACTTGGACCTGAAATAATTTTAAAAATTGGGAAAATAATAGGAAGTAACGGTTTTCAAGACATTAGGCAGCACAACATAATACCCCTGAGATTTGGGGAAAAAAGATGTAAACTGTATAATTGTCTGGTTTATTGTCTGGAGACAGCTTCTAGATTATGGTTGAGAGAGTCTGATTGAGGATCTGGGGGAGACCAAGGATGGAGAAGTTTAGATGGCACAGTACTGAAGAGGTGAGAATTGTACAGTGACATACTAGGGCAATGTGCAGAGCGTCCTCATCATCTGTTCAGCAAAATACTAATCAAAACATGCATGTGTAGAAACTAGTCTAGGGCTGAGAAAGACCCATTTACAAGAACTAGAGGAAATAATAGCAAGGTTTACACAAAGCCGGAAATAGAACCTATTTCCACTTTCCAAATTTGACAATTTCATAATTCTCAAGGCATTAGATAGAATATACAGAAAAATATTGCCTCAGTAGTGAGAGATCATTATCAGCTCTAGACTAAATACTACTTTTACTCTACCTAACATATTTTGAAAGCAGGAACAAAGAGGATCAAATAAATTTCAGGTAACTTAGCTGTACCCAAAAAGACAGCTCAAGAATATTTATTATATACAAATAAATCCAGCACCCAACAAGGCAAAATGTACAATATTGGGAATATGGACTATAATAAAATTTACCCAATATGATATGAAAAAAGAAAATTTGATTCATAACAAAGAGAAAAATTAACCAATTGAAACTAACACAGAGCTAATATAGATACTAGAACTAGCAGCGAAAATATTTTTACAGCTCTACGTCTTATGCTTAAAAAACTAGATGAAAGAGCAAACATATTAGGTTTATTAATTGAAGATGTAAAAATATCAAACTTGTAAAGATACAAACTTTAAGATATAATATTGAAAACAGGCTGGGATTAACAGTAAACTAAACATAACAGAAGAATAGATTAGTAAATTTAAATATGTAGCAATAAAAGTACTTGAATTAATCATTGAGAGAAAAAAAATCAAGGAAAAAGAGACAAGAGCATCAATATACTGTGGGAGAACTTCAAACGGTTTTCTACATGAGTGACTGGACACTGGAAGAAGAGAGAGAGTGAGAGAAATAAGTATTTCCAGAAACAATGGCCAAGATTTTTCCAAATTTGATTTAAGCTATACACTTACAACTTCAAAAAGGCCAATGAACTACGTGCAAGAAACATGAAGAAAACTTTGGTATATTATTATTAAATTGCTCAGGACCTATGGTACCAGGAAAAATTTAAAGACAGTCAGAAAAATAAAGGCATTTTACATACAGAGAAATACGAGGATTACAGCAGATTTCTTGTTGGAAGCAGTGCAAGTAAGATGACAGCGGAGCAAGATTTTTAAAGGTCAGAGAAAAAAAACTCACTTCATAGAATTCTGTTTCCAGTATAAATATCTCTCAAGTGAAGCCGAGTTTTCTGGCAGCTCAAGAGAAACTCAGAAAAAAAATGCTAAAATAACTTTTTGGCAATTAACATATACACAAATAAGAACTAATCAATAAGATGTCAAATATTTACCTGTGTAAAATGGCTACAAACTTTGGAACATGACAGACTATTAAAATCATAAAATTGGGTTTCATTATACCAAAGAGTAACGGCCCGTTTTGGTGTGAATAACTTTATTCCACCTGACCAGATATTTTCTCCAATAAATTCAAGAGGTGCATAACATCCATATGATACATCCAAACAGCTGTTATGTTCATATTTGCACTGGTTTGCCCATGTTTGAGCCACTTTTGCTAAACCTTTATCCCAAATCTGAAAGATAAAAATAATTTAAATTGAATAGTGCATAAGTATTTGTATTAAAATTATGATTTTAATCAATTAAATTTTGCTTAAATTTATTATTTTAATAAGAGAGGTTTTCTTTGGTATTTATTATGTTCACAGTCATTTTTTTTAGTTATACTTCAGAAATACTTATTTATACTCACTCTGTGATAGTTCATTGCTGTATTACCAGTACTTAGCAGATATCCTACATTAGCATCACTGAACAAATAAATCTGAATGTGATTACAATAAGCCAGAATTCAAAGTCTAGTAATTCAGAAGATCATGTTACTTTATCAAAATTAAAGGATGAATATTCACTGATAATTAAAAAGGACAAAAACCTAGGAATAGAAAGAAAGAAATGCCCTTAATTTGATCAAGATGATCTACAAACAAACAAACAGCCAGACAAAAATCTTTTCAAATGGTGAAATATTAAAACTTTCCCTCAAGTTTAGGAATGAAACAAGATATCTGCCCTTGTTATTTCTATTCATTGTACAAGAAGTTAGGAAGCATAATAAAATACATGAGCTGTAAATATATAAGACAAAACATATAAAATGTATAAGGATTGGGATCTATCATTATTCACAGATTACATGATTGGATACTTAAGAATTTAAATGAATACATAAACAATACTATAAAAAATAAATGAATTTACTAAAGTTGAACAATACAAGGAAAATATGTAAAAATCTATTATGTCTCTGTATATTCTACAAATGAATAGCTTCAAAACATTTAATATGTATAAATAAATTCAATGAGATACAAAATCTCTATGCTGAAAACTGCAAAAACACTCCGGAAATAAAATTTAAAAGACTTAAATAAATGGAGAGATGTGAAATGATCATGTACCAGAATATTCTATATTGTAAACCAATATTAATCATTACATATAATTTTACTTCGAATCAAACTTCAAGTAGCTTTTTTTGGGGTGGAAATTAATTACAAAATTTATGTGGAAATGTGATATTCCAGGTAAAGCTAAGACAGTCTTTTAAATGCAGAACAAACTGGAGACTTTCTCTACCAGATATCAATATTTATCATAAAGCTATATTAAGATATTGTCATGTTGACACATGGTTAGACAAACAGCTCAATGGAACAGAATAGAGTCCAGAAGCAACTCATGACAAAAGTAACAGTCTTAATATAGGTATATTTGCCAAGATTATTTGTAAACATCTTTTTATTTTTAACTGATTATAAATTCAACAAGAAATTACAAAAATAGTTCACAGGAATCCTGTGTGGACTTCACCTAGTTTTCCCAATGATAATGTTTTTTGTAACAATAGTATAATATAAAAATAAGAAATTGACATTGGTACAATCCACAGACTTTTTAAAGGTTTCAATAGTTTTACATGCATTTATTTTTGCAATTTTATCACCTGTATTAGTTAAAATAATCACTCCCACAGTATCTAGATACAGAACTGTTTCAACACCACAAGCATCCTTCATGGTAACCCATTAAGTCACACCCACTCACTACCCACACTTTCTTTAGCCCCGGCAATCACCAATGTGTTTTTCAGTTACGAAATTTTGCTATTTAAAGAAAGTTATGTAAATAGAATCCCAAAGTATGTAACCATTTTGAGATTGGCTTTTCTTCACTCAGCATGCTTTTGAGAGCCACAGGGATGTTCCATGTGTTGATAGTTTGTTCCGTTTTATGGTCAAGTACTATTCCATGGTACAGATGTAACACAGTTTAACTTTCATCTATTGATGGAAATTTGGATGTTTACAAGTTTCAGCTACTACAAAGCTTCCATAAATATTTCTGAGCAGATTTTTCTGTAGCAATACGTTTTCCTTTTTCTAGGAAAAAAGTAAAAGGAAAAAGTCCTCACAAGTGCAATTGCAAGTGTAAGTCCTATGTAAGTGTACGTTTAGGTGTTGTTTTCTTTTTTTTGAAACTGCCAAACTATTTCCTAGAGTGGCTATACCATTTTACATTCCGACCAGAAAAGTATGACAGATAAATTTTCTCCATATCTTCACCAGTATTTGGTATTGTCAATATTTTTTACTTTTGCTTTCCTAATTGGTAAGTATTGATATGTCCTTGTGGTTTTAATTTGCATTTCACTAGTGGCTACTGATGTTTAACATGTCTCACATACTTGTTTTCCATCTGTGTATCTCTGTGGTGAAATGTCAGTTAGTCTTCTGTTCATTTTTTAATTGATTTTTTTTTTTTTTTTTTTTTTTACTGTTGAGTTTTGAGAGCTCTTTCTCTAGATAGTTGTTTCTCATATATGGTTTGAATATATTTTCTCCTAGTTTATAGTTTGTCCTTTCTTAACTGAGTGCTTTAGAAAGTAGAAGTTTTTTATTTTGATGAGGTCCAATTTGTTGACTTTTTAAAAATAGTTTCTGGTTGTGATCAAAATTGAAATTATTCATTTGATTAGAAGTTTCATCTAGCCCTATGTCCTAAGGATTTTCTCCTGTTTTCCTTCTAGTAGTTTTATGCTTTGCATTTAAATTTATGAGTCATTTTGTGTTAATTTTTGCATAAGGTATAAACTTTAGGTCAAAGTTTATTTTCCTTATATGTTTTAAATGGTATTTCAACACCATTTCTTGAATAGAATATCCTTGCTCCACTAAATTACTTTTGCATCTTTGTCAAAAATCTACCTAGAGGAAAAGAAGTCATTTTATGAAAAAGACATTTGCACATGCATGTTTATTAGCTGCATAATTTGCAATTCTAAAAATATGGAGACAGTCTAAATGTCCATCAACCAACGAGTTCATAAAGAAAATGTGGTGTGTGTATATACATATATTTTATTTATATATGGACATATATATAAAATATATAAGTAAAAAATATATATACCACACCAAAAATGTTTATATATGAATAAAATATAAATATATTTGTATATATTTATATGTGTATATATATTTGTATATATGTATATTTTATCATACATATATAAAATGTATGTTTTGTATATATTTATATTTTATATATGTATGTAAAATATAAATATATAACTTTTATATTTATATATTTTATATTTATAAATATAAAAATATATTTATATTTTACATACATATATAAAATATAAATATATACAAA